GCTCTTGCTGAACTAGTATCACTAAATAGACTCAAGGCGATTGAATTAGGAAACAAAGAATTCGGTGACCCTTCGGATGGGATAGTACAAGGCCGAGGTAGAGTACATGTCGCATTACCAGAGGGACGTGATACAGTCGGATTAGTGCGGGGAAATGCACGCTGGCGAGGTGCTGGTTGTGTTATACCACATGACATTGTGGGAGGCATAGAGGATTGTTTAACAACTCCACACATACTAGGATTAAAATGTTGAAATGACCTATTGTTACTAAGATTGGTGTTTTGTAGCATATCACTAATAGATTCGTCGGAATTATTTATACCAGACTCGTTCTGGATACTGGTAGTCGGTTCAGAAGATACAGTATTTGTAATATTATTAAGAAATTTAAAAGGCACATGTTGGTCATACTGTACTGGATAATTAGGTGTATTGCATGATGACGACGTTTGACATGTGTTACCACAAACAGAAATCAAGTTGACAGAATTATTATAGTTCGGATTAACTGAATGAGGAACTGATCTAAATTGTAAATTTGATGACTGATCTCCCGATGAAGCAGGGAACTCTATTAATCCTTGAAGTTGTGATGACTGAATATTATGTCTTCGGATAGGACGATCAGATAAACAACTGGGTTTCTTAATGTTACTGTTACCATTATCAATGATGAGTTCATTGGTATGATTATTATTATTATTATTATTATTATTAGTTGTTGTTGTTGTTGTAGCAGTCACAGTATTGTTATGAAAAATAGTGGATTTCATTTCATTAGTTGTAGTAACAATAGCATCACGTAACCAATCACGAACACGTTGATTGTCAATGTTAACATGATTTGTATTTGATATGTTAGGAATGTCAGTCATTGCTGTTGTTCTGGATGATGATAATAATAATAAAGGTGAGTGAATACTATTCATAGATTCATTAATTAGAATTGAACGATCATGATTAGTGTTTGTTGAGATCGGCACAGGATGATGACTGAATTTATTGCTATTATTATTTTGTTGTGCAACGATGTTATTGTATGAATAATCTGGTATTTCAGTAGTAAGTAATGAACCTGTATATTTTCTTTGGTTTAAGGATGTTGACAAGCGTTCTTCTTGATATTCAGTATTCATATGATTATTATTATTATTTGAATGTCGAAGTATTCCATTGTCCTACAGTAGAAAAATAAATAAATAATTAATGGCACACACACACACATAAATTTCTTGTACAATATTGATCAAAAAAATAAAAGCAGTTAACAAATATTACTCATATAACACAAAAACCAAGTAAGGGTTTGAATTACACGCTGTGTATGAGAGCTATCAGCACTATCCAGTTCCTCAGACTGATGTAGGGTGCAGCGTGATTAGAATGTTCGATATAGTGTTGATAATTCAGAAATCGTTCCATTCTATAGACAGAATTGGAAGTACTCTTTTCCCCAAAACATGAAAGATTATGGAAACATAGTTATACATAACTTAAAAATTTGCTCTGCAGACTTGGGATGTGACAAGTTGTTCCACTCCTTACACAGAATTTCGTATTGTCTAGTCTGATGGATTGACATTTAACTCTCTGATGCATAGAATATATATATATCAAGATATCTATAGACGAGTGAGTATTATTAAATGAGGTCATTTTAAATACTCCTTATCATTATTTTTATAACTTATCTAATCAAACTTTTAATATCATACTATCCAAACTGAAACTAACGGCTGATACGCAGGTCAATTTATTCAAGTACTTAACTAACAAGCAGTGCTTGTTTAGTTGAAAATAAAGTGATCAACTTTGATAGATATTTAATCCTCAGTATGATCTCTAGTTCACTGATGCAAAAAGCGGTAAATTATTAGCAACAGGTGAATAAATTCGTTAGAAAAGATCGATGGAAACACCTTTCACTAGGTTACAGATGATGAGAACTAGCCAAAAAACACAGGTATAAATAGTGAACATTCAGTTAAGACTAGTGTAAAGAAATCTGACAGCCGAATCAAAACGATGAACTTATTTGGAAAAGATATTTCTACATTTTGATAGTAAGGATCCCTTAAATTGAAGTATATTTCATAATTATAGATGTGTTGTTGATGCTATGATCATTTGTGGTACCAACGACAATACATTAACTTCTCATCCTTTGAATTATCTGTACTTCAAATTTAAATGTGTACTGATATCAGAGCTTTGATATCAATGCATAACACTATCGGTAAAACCTTATTTTTCAAAATTATATACTTAAGGTACTGATTAGACACACGTTATGTATGCTTATCTTCTACCTTACTTATTTTATGTTTCTAATCCAATGGTTTAATTTTGACCCATGTTGACTACGTAACTCATGACTAGAAGTTTCTGCTTCTACATAATTCTTATCTTGCCAATTGATTTAGACTACGTCAATCTTTTTAAATATTCATCTAATCATTATACCTCATCGGGAAGCGTTTCTATTCCTAACCATTTACTTAATCACTTTGGATTAGTTAACATTATTACTATCGGTTCAGTAAATATATAAAGCATCAACTAGATTGACCATGCCAACAACTGACAATAATCTATATACCAGTATGAATTGATTTAAATTCAATCGATGTCCTCTCTATACTCTTAAATCCACAAGAAGCAATTGGAAATGAAACTCGCAAATTTTTGTCCAAACACCACAGATTATCGAAGAGCTAGTGGTAATTTAACCATGTAGTAAATGTGCCGGTAGTCTAGTAGTTAAGACTTTAGACTTTCAACCAATAGGTATACAATATTTCGTAACGCAAAGAGGAAAAGGTGAATATCGAGACACTAACAGATATAAAACATTTTTTACTTTATTTACTGATTTGTACGTTGATTGTGTGTACATGCAAAATTGTTTTGTAAATATGCATACAAAAAAAACCCGATGTTTTACCTTCGTAAAGGATCAAGAAAGATTATATAATCAAATCAGTCTGATAATAAATTGTTTTTGCATGGACATGTGTTTAGAGATAGTAATTTTTAGTTGCTAATACATGATTGTTCATTTTCCTAACTACATAAACAATGAAAGGAAGATAATTTACAAATTGCATAAAATCACACTCAAAATTACCGTTTACACATACTACTGAATGATAAATGGATGAATGTTTTGATAAAGAAAAAAAAATTACAACTCTACTCTATACTTGACATCAAATATAACACCATGATATAAAATTCAACTTTCAGCTTTCAAAACATCAACATTATACATTCCATTGGAATGTTGAAAATTTATGGAAATTTTAATTAACAATTAGCAGTTTGAAGCAAAAAGGAGTATTACATAAATTTTGTCAATGAACTAATCAATATTGCATAAAAATAGCATTTTATTTTATTTGTTAATATTAAGTAAACCTAATCCTAGGAAGTGAATTACTCATTAAATTTATAGATTTAATACTATTTATGAGTATTTAACACCTAATGAAAATCTTATTCACATTTAAAAAATGAATCAATCTTTATTGGTAACCACTGAATATTTTGATTTCGTTTTTTATTTTTTTTGAAAAGCAGAAGTTTTTTGCAAATTCCAGTTGAATGTAACTAATGTATGGCGGAATTATCTGATTACAACACAACACATAGTCAATTTGATTATTCATTCATCATTTTGAAAATGATACTGAGTTTAGAAATAAAACGAAATATTCTTAATTTGAATTATTCACAAATGTTCAATTGTGATATTTTGTATGATAACCATTTTCAGATTCCTAGAATATCCAGTGTTGTATCAGAAAAAGTGTAGTTTATTCGAAATTTCACATTTAACATTGCCTCATATTTAAGCTTCATACATTATTGAATTTAACAAATGATCGATATAGTTATTTAACACACAAAATAGTCGATTGTTTGCAAAGAACACTTATACATTATTGTGGTCAAGTTATTTTGTGCACATTCAATAATCAACAGTATAATATATACATATATATATAATGAATGTTGTATCGAATATGGAATCAGTGAAGTATACAACAATGGAAATATAAGATAATGTGCCATAATCATAACAAGAGTAACAATAACAGCTGTGCTATATAATATGAACAATACAAAAATTCAACTTAATGAATTAGAAATGAATTGCTGAAAAATATAAACTACTTTTATAATTATATATATTATCATAATAGACAAATAGTTTTATACAATAAATTTGAAAGTCAGATTTATGAATTTGTAAAAGAAAAAAAACGACACTTAAACTATTGAATAGTCAAGATGAAACTATAGTATCTATCACATTTGAATTCGCTAAAAGTTAATTTCAGTGGTAGAAAAGTGGGGAAAAAAGAAAGGAAAACTATGAATAAAAAAAAAAAGAAATTAGTTGCTAGCTAATACAGCAGCAAGATTGAATCAATAAAAAAGGAATCATTAAAGCTAAATGTTTTTTTAAGGTATGAAATCAGTTATAATGCCCCCCTCTCATGCATCTGCGCATAGATCACTCACCAACTTACAGTATTTTAAGAAACTAATTAACAGAAGATTTTGGCTTGCTCCCCCTTAGAACCTATATAGTTTTCTGTTGTCTTTCTTGATGACAGAAAATCTTTCACTTCCGAGCATTTATTCAGACATGCAAGAAAAACAGTTATATTGGAGATACTTAGCCAGAAAAATATTTTTTGGTGTTCATTTTATGGTAAAATGTTCAGTCACATATTTGATAACGAATGAAAATGTAATTTGTCATCAAATAAACTGAAAGTGATTTTATGTGAAGTAACTGTATTGAATAGTAGAATGCTACTATCATCGATTTGATATCTCATATTTGTTATTTCTGCTAATTCTCAACTCATAAGATACGAGTACATGTACTTAGTTAGAAGCCATACTCTATTAGGTACATGAATTTTATAAGTATTTGGAAACGAAACATCATAAGAAGTAGTTTCAACAAATATATCTACTGGATTGATGAAAATAATATTTAAATCTTCTAAGCAATAATGCTCCTAAAAATCTACATCATACTTAGGTTTCGTGAATCAAGAAGGTTTTTTTATGACCATAAAGCCTAATATATATGGCATTAGCAAAACAAACCACAGAATCTAAACGAATATAAATGGGAACATGTGAAGATATAGATAATTGGCAACTTATCCAAAGCCATACGCAAACATTTAGAAATAGCAACTATGAAGTAAATAGATTATTCAAAGCTAGTTTCTTTTATTAACATGGAATGAGTTGAAACTAATCGATCAGATCATCGTAACAGTTCTCCTATGGACATCAAAACTCTGATTTTTCACTACAATAGAATGAATTGGATGTTTGATTGTTTATTAAGGGAAATCAAGCATTAATTGTGATATTTGGAAAATTCAACATTCACAGATTAGAATACTATTAACTTGTAAAACAGCATCTATGGAAATATTCATTTTCTAGCACACATCGACAATACATTGAAGTTCAATGGCTAGAAACCTTAGGTAATGTGAGCTAACAACAGCTACACCATATCTGAAATATTTTATTCTTGATACTGAATCTGTTCCTATTTTTGTTTGTTTTTTCTTCTGTTTATTTTACCAAATCACCTTCCATGATGTCCTACTAGGTTGAATCGTAATCTAACTTCTGTGTATGTGTGTGTGTGACCCGCTATATTCTAATGATTTTTGATATCAAATGAATAATTGTATATTAACAACGTAACAAAAAAGGTCATTATTGATAGAGAGAAATATGATATTTAATCGGACAAATGACCATTTTAGATAACCTATTCAGGTCGTAATATTTAAATCTGACAATTTTGGAAGTTTATTTAATAGGAAGTTTCAAAAAATTCAATGTTAGTTGACGATTGAAAATTATTTTCAAATAATTTATGACGACCAAAAGATTAAAATGTTCCCCTTACAGCATAAAAATTATCGTTTTACTATATACAGAAAATCTACATGATAAAAAATTGTCAACTCAATTTTCTGTAGGTTAACACAAATTTTATAATATCCAGATACAATTTTCAATGGGAAAAGGATACACACAAATTTACTCATGACAAATAATTGTGTAATAAAAATTGTTTTAAACTGTTGTAAAGTTGGTTAAAATGTTAACACATACTAATGAGTCAATGTTCAATGATTTTCATTTTATTTTTAGAATAAAATGATCATCAACAGGCACTTATACGTAAATATAATATAATCTTTTGGTAAACAATTATAGAGATTTAAATATCTCAAGTTTCCTCAAATCCATTCACGTAAATAGATATTTGAATATATTATACAAGAATTATAAAAACAGAAATACTATACTATATATTTGCATAAATAAATTTCAAAATAATTCAAATCTTAATATACAATTAGTGTATTAATCAGTGAAAACCTACATCTTTTTGAAACATGAGCGATGATGGTTGAAGATTCTGTTGCAGAAACTAAAAGAGAAGAGAAGAACAAAAGAAAAACATAACAACAGCAAGACAATTTTTTGCATGAAACAATTTCTTTTTTAACGACATAATTAATTTATACGAATTACTTTATTTACTTACGTGGGCCTGTTACCCACGATGAAGCATAGGCCGCCGACTAGCATTATCCAACCTATCCTGTCTTGGGTTTTCCTTTCCAATTCTATCTAATTGCTATTCATTCTTTTCATGTCTGCTCCCTATTCCGGCGTAAACTATCCTTTGGTCTTCCTCTTTTCTTTTGACATTGACGGTTCTGAGTGAGGGCTTGTCTTGTTGAGTGCTCGCCTTAATGTGTGTCCCATCCACCTCCAGAGCTTTCTCCTAATTTCTTCCTCTGCTGGAATCCGGTTTGTTCTCTTTTACAGTAGATTTTTGCTGATGGTGTCTGGTTAGTGGATTTGAAGTATTTTGCGCAGAAAACAGTTACTAAACACCTGCATCATTAGTTTATTTCATCGTTATAATCCCGTATGATGTTGACTAACTTCTCAGACAAGCCACAGTGTCATCTTGTCCACACTGTCGAATGCTGTCGCGTAGTCTAGGAAGTCAGTGTCAAGTGGTGGGTACCATTTAATTGATTGTTACACAATGAGCCGTAGTGTCGCGATTCAGTCAGTACATGGTCGATCCTTACGGAATCCCATCTGCTGATCTCGAAATTGTGTGTTTACAGAGTTTTCCATTAATTTATACGAATAATCATCAACATTGGAACGAATAGTTTGAGGAAAAACTTTGCCTGTAGAACCTTCGGGGCTACTGCCGGTCCCAAGCACGGATAAAGGAGGAGAGGTTGGCGCCCCTATCCCAACTAAAACTAACTTGGCAAAAGAACGCTCACCAGAAAAAAAAATCAAACCATTTTAACTCTGCCCTGGGAGTTGGAAGAAGAATTGTGACGTCTCGTGATGAAAGCCGAGTTCTCTCGGAAGTCACGGGGCCGATGCCTATTCTGACGACGTTCGCACATTGTGGGAGAATGGAAGACTATTTCAAGTTGCGGCAGAAGTGAAAAGATACAACCTCGAGGTGCTCGGTATCAGTGAAACACATTGGACACAGGTAGGACAACTGAGAATAACTTCAGGGGAACTGCTGTTATACTGTGGTCAGGAAGAGGAAAATGGTTCACATATACAAGCATTTGAACTGATGCAGTCCAAACATGCACAAAAGACACTGATAGGATGGGAATCTCATGGACCCAGGATCATTAAAGCATCCTTCAAAACAAAGAAACAGGACATTATAATGAACGCCATCCGATGCTATGCATCTACCAATGACTACAATGACGACGTTAAAGATCAATTCTACGAAAGGCTGCAGTCAATCGTCGACAGATGCTCATCAAAGGACTTGACCATTCTGATGGGGGACCTAAATGCCAAGGTTGGCATGGACAACACTGGATATGAAGATATCATGGGACCGCCTTTCTTCGGGATACCGTAAAACCTGCAGGATCTACTCAATGGAGAGGACGCAACATCGGAGAACAATTAGAAAGGGATTAAGGAGGCAGTCACTTCAACATGTCACGAAGTTCTGAGTCACAGGAAGTACCATCACAAGGAATGGATCTCTGTTGATACTCTTGGAAAATTGAAGAAAGGAGGAACAAGAAGGCCGCAATCAATGTCAGCCGAACAAGAGCAGAGAAAGTTAAGGCACAAGCTGGATACACAGAAGCAAACAAGCAAGAGAGGAGGAGCATTAGAGCCGACAAACGCAAATACACGCAAGATATAGTAGTTACGCCCCTAAAGGCTGCGCGAAAAGGGAAACTTGAGACAGTTGTACGAAACAACAAAGAAGCTGGCTGGAAACTATCGTAAACCAGAACGACCAGTGAAAAGCAAGGAAGGCAAAGTAATCAGCCACACTGAAGAACAGCGAAACAGGTGGGTAGAGCACTTTAAAGAACTGTTGAATCCACCAGCTCCACTGAACCACCCAACATCAAAGCAACATCTACGGACCTCCCAATCGATGTTGGCCCACCAACGATTGAAGAAATCGGCATGGCCATCAGACGAATCAAGAGCGGCAAATCGGCAGGACCGGACAATATTCCAGCAGAGGCAATGAAGGCAGACGTGGAAGCAACTGCAAAAATACTTCACATTCTCTTCAACAAGATTTGGGATGAAGAACAAATATCAACAGACTGCAAAGGACACCTCATCAAAATACCAAAGAAAGGAGATTTCAGCATGTGTGAGAACTACAGAGGCATCACTCTTCTTTCAATACCAGGCAAAGTCTTCAACAGGGTATTGTTAAACAGAATGAAGGACTTCGTAGACGCCCAACTTCGAGATCAACAGGCCGGATTTCGTAAGGATCGATCGTGTACCGACCAAACTGCTACATTAAAGATCATTGTGGAACAATCAATTGAATGGAACTCATCACTCTACATCAACTTCATCGACTACGAGAAAGGATTCTATAGCGCGGACAGGAAAACACTATGGAGGCCTCTTCAACTCTACGGTGTGCCTGAGAAAATAGTCAACATCATACGCAATTCTTATGATGGATTCAACTGCGAAATCGTGCACGGAGGTCAGCTGAAAAACTCTATTGAGATGAAAACCAGTGTCAGACAAGGTTGCTTACTCTTACCTTTTCTCTTTCTCTTGGTGATCGACTGGGTTATGAGAACGTCAACATATGGATGAAAGCACGGTATCCAGTGCACAGCTAGGACGCAGCTAGACGATCTGGACTTCGCAGATGACCTGGCTCTTCTATCGCACACGCAACAACAAATGCAAGAAAAGACCAGCAGTGTAGCAGCAGTCTCAGCAGCAGCAGATGTCAACATACATAAAGGAAAAACTAAAATTCTCCGATGCAACACAACATGCACCAACCAAATCACTCTTGATGGAAATGCCTTGGAGGACGTTAACACCTTTACATATCTGGGCAGCATAATCGACAACCAAGGTGGATCCGATGCAGATGTGAGGGCGCGGATTGGCAAAGCAAGGGCTGCATTTCTACAATTGAAAAATATCTGGAACTCCAAACAAACATCAATCAACACCAAAATCTGGATTTTCAATACAAGTGTCAAGATAGTTCTACTGTATGGAGCGCAAACATGGAGAACTACCAAAGCCATCATCCAGAAGATACAAGTGTTTATTAACAGTTTTCTACGCAAAATACTTCGGATTCGTTGGCCAGACACCATCAGCAACAACTTACTGTGGGAGAGAACAAACCAGATTCCAGTGGAGGAGGAAATCAGGAAGAAGCGGTGGAAGTGGATAGGACACACTGAGAAAAGAACCCAACTGCGTCACAAAACAAGCCCTCACATGGAACCCTCAAGCTCAAAGGAAAAGAGGAAGGCCAAGGAACACATTACACCGAGAAATAGAGAAAGACATAGGAAGAATGAACAAAAACTGGAAAGAACTAGAAAGCGAAGCCCAGGACAGAGTGGGCTGGCGAAAACTGGTGGGCGGCCTATGCTGCATTGTGGGGGGGGGTAACAGGCGTAAGTAAGTTTGAGTTAAGCACCGAGCACATAGAAGATATTATTTGTGAAAATTATATTTGAAAACGTTTTACAAATTGAAATTTTCAATAATTTCAATGTATCATTCAGAAAACTTGTTTGAACTTCTCCATAGAAATAATAATAGAAATTATTAAAGAATATATAACTTAATAAATTCTTTAGTAATTTTAATCAACTAAGATTATTTCAATTTTTTTACAAATAACATGTTTAGTTATTCAATGTTTTTGGAAAAGGTAACAAGAAACAATTTTAAATGATAGAAGGATTTCATCATTGTGATAGACAAATAAATGATAACATTTCTACAAATGAAACAGAATATCATCATTATGAAAATACTACTAGTAGTTGTTTAGATTTATATTCTGTCAAGTGGATATACAGAATAGAGAATTCATAGATAAGAACGTAGACAACAACGAACATTAATTAATAAATTTAATTAAAATTTTTAATTTTCGTATTAAGCTTATCAATGGTTTTAACCATGAGATAGTGAAAGGTATTGTTAATAGACAAGAAGCATTCACTCTTTAATTTGTATTAACAAAGACTTCATTTGCTAAAATTATTTATTGATTTTTCTTTTTCTATAAATTATATAATACACTAATTTAGTTTTGTAGAGTGCATTTCTGATGTGTAACAATTTAGTCTGATAAAAAGTTGTGACAAGTTTAAATATGATGATGAATAATATTGGCAGTTTGTAATTAATTCACAGAATGAACTTTTGTGTGTCTGTTAGCACTACTGATCTGTAAGGCGTATCTCTTCACATTTATTGGAAATGATGCAGTTAGGTGAACTTGATACTAGATTATAAGATCAACATCGTTAAGAAGTTGCTGTAGGCTATAGAATCCTTAAGTAAGAATGTATTGAATTATTCACAGTTACAACTTAAAAAGAAACGGAATTATACATCCAATCAAAATTTAAATGTCTAATAAGGTGGTTATAAAGGAACAGAGACAATAAAACATAAATCACATGATAATAAATGGAGAAATCTAGTTAAGAAAGTTAATTTACACAATTTAGGATTGCACAAAGAACTTTGGTCACTTGTATGCAGTATAATATTCATTAATTTAAAATTTAACCTCATAAACAGAAACTGGACAATTATAGTGTAATCAATAGGAGGACAAAGACGATCGATTTTGTTAGTTTTTGTTTGAAAAACAGTTGCCTATCATCTAGGATGAAAATAATGCATAAGGATACAAGTATTCCTTTTATACAGATAATATGTATATACAAGCAAGTGGAACAGACTGGTTTTACATTGTTGTTCACTGGAAAAAAATAAGTCATTAAAAGATGAATATGACAAAATATATGCTACCTATGCTAGATATATTCATTCATTCAGTCAGATGCAACGTAGAACTTCGTACGTAAGTACATCAGTTCATGTTGCCATACCACATCAGCACAGAGATATAATTGTCAATTCAAATCCAATAGTAGAAGAGGTAGTAAGGGTATTAGAAGTAATCGGAGAGGTTAGGATTAGAAGATATTATTCAAGAAGTATGATTCAGTGAGAAAAGTTTAGAAAGTCAAAACTAGAGGTGTTGGAGAATCCAGAAGATTAGGGTTTGAGAGAACACAAAGAATAAATGCACCGGCGCCATTGCGAACGATTTTGAGCCATGTCATTCAAGGTCTCTAACCATCGATTATTATCATCTCGCGGACCCCAACCAGGTAGTCAACAATTACCGACATGGCTAAGTCCACTCGTCAATGACTTCATGGATTTTTGCCATGTTTTGGTCTGGCCGCCCCTAACTTTCTTCCAACCTACTCCTACACTACAAAACAAAGCTCGTCGAGGCAGTCGGTGGTTCGGCATACGCAACACATGTCCCAACCACCTCAACTGATGAAGTTTCACCACTTCATCGATCGATCTGCCATCCTTACCTAGTACTCATTTTCTAACGACAGCATTGCTTACTCGGTTGTCCCACGGTATACGAGCGATGCTTCGAAGACACCTATAATCGAAAACCAGTAACCTACGAATATGTTCTACTCTCACTTGCCATGTTTCACAGCCATATAGGGAACTGAGCGAACTGCTGCATAGTACACTCGTCCTTTGATTAGAGAACGGATATCACGCCTACGCCGTTCATTAATACAAAAGAAATATTTAACTAGTTGGGTTTTGTATCATCATATTTATGATTTTAAAAAGTTAATTTGTATGTTCATGACTCCTTAAAATGGTATATTAAAAGATTCAGATAAATAAAATTTCCTTTTTCTAGCCAATGAATGATTCAAAAGTAAACAATAGTATAATATACTGAATTAGAGCTAATAAAATTTTTTGATTCAATACATGTTAAATATTTGTCAACTGTTGCAACTCTAAAAAAAAGTATACGTTTTTTTTCGATATAAGCTATCGATAAACCAATAATTAACTATGGGTATGAATCAATGTGATTGTCAATTCAAATCCAATAGTGTAGGAAGGATTTGATTTTGACCGATTTGGTCTCTCGTGCTGTTACGGGTATGAGGGCGGTTGGCACTGACCGGCTGCCCACACCGTGGAAGGGGTATGAATCAAGAATAAAGGAAATTTAAAACTACAAGAATTACTGACATACTAGAAGCATAAATCAGAGGTAAATATAGTGAAAATCCAATTGAATAGAATTTACTTTCATGAAAACTCGTTCACGAAGCTTTACTGAGAAGAGCATTCAAGTTGATGTCCAAAAATTTAGCAGAAAAAAAAACAAAATAAAATCTGAAGTAATTTGTACTATTAGCACTAAAATTACATCTTAAAACATGAAAACACCATTTCAGTGTTAACAATAGAAATTCAATCGGGTATTACGTGTGTGAAATTAAACATTTCTGTATTTGATGAATATTTAAGTACAAAACTACAAATTTTCGAAAACATATATATCTGAGCAGTAAGTATCAACACTAGCAAAATCACTATACTCACCTGAATTTTTGTTAAAGGAATAATATCACCATCGATTGGTTTCTGCCAAACAGTTTCTCGGGTGCTACTATTATAATAGTAATTTCTTTGGGCTTTTATATCAAACAATTCCCACCATTGATTAGGTGAAACTGTTTTACTAAAATTCAAATAAAATAATGATGACCAACAATATGAAAGAGAACAAAAATTATGATATTAAGACGATACACTACTTATCATGATAGGTCATAACTTGATGCAAATTGTTTACTCAGTCGAGTGAAGCCGTAAGTAAGTGATGCAAACTACATAAAAAGTGAGAATTTTATTTTCTGGTAGATTAAAACGACAATGTGATCAGAACTATGCTTACAAAAAACCTGACATACCAAAACTGTCCATAAATATTTTTAATAGTAATGACGCAAATTCCAACATGTGAAAGTGACACCCCAATCTGACAGACAGACAGACAGACAGATACAACGCAGAACTTCGTACATAAGTACATCAGTTCAGGTTGCCATACCATGTCAGCACAGAGACGTAACTGTCACTTCAAATCCCAAATCTGATGGAGTTTACGAATATCAAAGGCTTCTCTCTCTGTTTGTAGACCATCAGACCATACATCAGTATAGAATGTGACATGATGATACGAATTAAGTTTGATAGTCATGTCTTAACTAATTAGGGAGTAAATTCAGCTAGCTCTTAGTATAAGTACCTTATATGAATCCTAAAGTCCTGCTTCTCTATTACGGTGACGTGAGGATTATTAAGTTACACATTTTTATCAAGTTAGACATTAACACCGTTAGATACCGGCTCAGTGGTCCAGAGGTTAGGCGTTCGCGCACAATACCGAAGGTCCCGGGTTCGAATCCTGCGAGGTGCAGGGGTCGTGGATGCGCACTGCTGATGAGTCCCATACCGGGAAGAAACGGCCGTCCAGTGCTTCCAGGCTTCTAATGGTAGTTTAACATTGGTCGATTCATGGTTTCAAAAATGTGTGATTTACGACGTTACACACTTTTTATTTTGTCATATGTTAAGACTAATGATAAGTTGTGAACGACTTCTGAATTGTTAAAATGACCGAGTAGAATATCAATCAATAGATAAACACAAAGATACAATACATCTGAGCGGAAATTATTTATGAGACTGAATTATCGACTCAAACTTCAGAATTAATTAACATTGAGTGAAAGACGATTAGTTGAGAAAATAAATTTTTATCCAATAAAATATGTCTCTGTACAAATTTAGAGGTTAGTAAACCTGATTAGATTTTATGGAGGATTAAATTAAATCAATTTCATGGGTCACTAAACCGACAATGAATTCAGAAAAAACTCTTAAGCTTAATTCCTGCCCATGGTACCACATTTGATAGTGGTGTATTTTGAGCTTACACTTAAAAAATATTACAGTGAAGTGTTGATTAAAGATGTGAAAAGTTGCGTCGTTAGCAGTGCAGGCTTTTAAAGAGGAAAGACTAACTCTTAAAATGCTATGAACGAAGTTCGAAATAGTTATAATAATAAGCATATGAAGTAGATCTAGCTGTTCAGACTAGCGTTTTACTCATTAGCAGCAAATACATCCTACTATTTGCTGAATCGCTCTGGTTCAGATGTGAAGGACTGGTTCATTCTGGATAGTCAATATTATTGCTAAACAATATGAGTAGTATTCAAATTAGTCATCGGGCTTTGTAGAATGGAGAAATTGAATTTATGAGGGAATATTATCAAGAATAAAAACAAAGCCTAACCATGAAACAAAAAAGCAATGTATCTCAGTTCTCAGCCTAAAGCTGCATTGTATGTGTAACAATTAGTGATACCACCGGATTACCCAAAATAACTAGGAGCAGCGAGATTCCAAATGACAACCTAATGGTTAAAAACCAGTAGATGTACCTACAAAACTATCCACTAAACGGATTCCCTTCTATAACCTAAAATAATTAGATATGAACATTGTTTCTCTTGAATACTTAATCTCATATTTGGTCAAGAATATCTTAGACATTATTGTACCCGATCATGATTACATTATTGGTTAAGACTTACTATTTTGAATTTTCCGGAGGATCTCGGCTGCATTCGCCAGATTTTAGATTGATATACATTAATTGCTGTGATTTGGGATCAACTAGCTGAACCCAATCATATCTGAAAATAAATATGAACACGTTACACTAAAGACTACGTATTATCAGCGACCAGCTTCATAAACAGGAACATGATAATAGGAGTGGTAAAAAATGTTATGTTATGAAGCTGAATTTTAGGGGGAATAATAACTTCGAAAGGGAATATATGGTTCTTAATTAACTATAAAGTATGTTCGCAGGAAGATTTATGAAAAGGTTTGCAGATCTAGGTATTTTAAAAAGTAGGTGGGACTATTGTGATTGAAATCACAGGAAATTTTTAACCTGAGAACAGGAGAGTAGCCAAAGAGTTAAAAAAGCAGACGAACCGCAAATGAGTCCAGCCAAGTAAAAAATTGACTCAAAAAGCCATTAACAGATCTTCTAAAATAAGTGAAAGCTAGAGTCTAGCTCGTCCTCAAAAACTCGTAATAAGAAGTGTCTAATACAGGGAAATCTTCAGCATTGTGGAATAAACCAGGGTATAGAGAACATAAATAAGTACATAAACAACAAACATATATGAAACATAATTTTAAAAAACAATGGGCTGGTTAATCTCTGCATTAGCTGATGACAATTAAATAATGGCAAGTAATCAGGAAATCCAAAATAAGCATTCATGATTACCTTAGTTATTGACAAGTTTCAATACAGCCAAATTTGTATGTAGGGTACTTATCAGTCCGGACTCAGTGTTAGGTGACGTTTTTAGAAATATATAGAGATATTTGACTTTCCTTTTTGATGGCTAAACAGTTTTTAACGCTGCCGTTTATATATTATGACTTTTAACCAACAGTGAGAAGCTAAGGACCTCAAAAAAAATGCAAAATATGACTCGAACGTAACGATAGTTGGATTTCATCAACTGCAGTTTTGTAAGATACTGGTTGCATTTGCCAAGAAAACTTTCTTGACAGAAAATATCAGGTTACCAACTAATGGAATTTTGAATTGTATCTAGTTGTTCGAAAGATTCGAAAAGTCTCTCTCCTTACGGGTAGACTTTCATTTAACCGGGAATTTCCCTCTTGTAGCACTACTTGTTCGTAACGTCTAGGATGATATACTAGCTGATGCAACTAAGATTTCGTCATCAGTGATGGTTTAATAGGCTGGGAATTTGCCTATTAGCCTATAGATTGTCAAAGCTGAAGCATGGAATGACGAACGCAATATTTCTGGTTATCAAGTAACTACCAATAGGTTCAGCCAAATTGTCTGATTAAGTAAAAACAGATGATTCCGACGGATATACTCCTAAAAAACCAAACTGTACCTGGAATATATAGAACTCAAATACATTTTGGGATCACAGGGAGTACAGTTACCAAGTGGCTAGATCAATCAGACAGCATTCTACCGAGTATATAAAACCATCACCAGCATCAAGACTCCTAAGTAAACGAAATCACAAGCTAATGATACCAAAACACATAAATACTATATGGTCGAAACAAGTGCATAAAACACAAAACATTCCTCCTATTATTAATTGAGCTATGAGACTGAACACACTACCAATCGGATGTCGTAACTTAAGATACCGACAGGTTCTTGTAATGCAGTAAACAGTGAAGGAAGAATGGTATATCAGACTTGACAAAGAACACACAGGATCTATGTCCGTTAAGGCGCACTGGTCACTTAATGCTTTTAAATTTTGGACAGTTAGTATAAATTCATTCGGAATAGACAAATAGCAGTAAGTCAGTTTAGAATTACCTATTATTATCATTAGCATCCATAATGATTTTAAAGCTTGATTGTCATACGAAAAAAGCGGTCATCCAAAGAAACATTATGAAGACACTATATCGAGAACTACATTATATGTAAAGTACAGAAGTAAATTACGCGCTAAACATTCCGACGGCATATTACTTATAAGAGGTTACAGCAAGTGTTAGTTAGCGATTTTATTTAATTCAAATGTTTAGCAATAATTTTCTGCAACTGTTTGTTTAACCTTACCTAAATGAAACGCGCTCATTTTTTAATACAGCTGATATCTTGTCGCGAATACGTTCGCATTCTAGGTTTCAGTATCTCAACCATGCTAAAGTGTTCTGGTAGTAATCCGCAAAGCCGTAAGTTAAATTATGACATAATCGACTGAGGTTCTTCGGGTTTTATATTTTAAAGATGTGTTAAATGGTGTAACTAATCTTCTTGTGGGATGTGTATTACTGAAAAACGGTCTAGTATTGTATTCCTGTTTCTCTTCCCTTCTGTGTGTGGCGATTCGTAATGTTTTTTAAACTTGCTTCCAAACTCAATACTTCTACTACGTGACTGTTGTCAATTCGTTTACTGCATCGTATATGTAGAATATGTGTTAAATGACAAATAGTTTTGTCTATGTTAACTGAATATAACTTATTTTCGTACAAAGCTTTAAATATGAGTACTTCAACCTGACTATGTTAATTTCAACTTGTTAATTATACCTCATTGGTTCTAAAGTTTAGTGCTTGAGGTTTGTCTTCTTGACATGAACAATCTGCTAAGTACTCTCGCAACAAATAATCCTGACACTAAGTTGTATCCCGTACTTCCTAAGGTGTTTTATTTGCATCTGTACAATGACTGTGAAAACTTAAGACAATTCGTAACATGTTTTTGCGTTTATGGACAGACACTAATGATATATGCGTTAGCTAAATCTGCTCTTAATGTTTACACAACCCAAGTTTCTGAACAAATCGCCAGTTCAAATTAAAGTATCCTTGAGCGCAAAATTCTATTCCATGAGAAATCGTCGTATTGCATGAAGATGATGTGACTAAGCCAGTATGCTAACAGGTTTAAGGTCATTGAATCCAAGTTATTACAAATCGAAAAGTTAAAGTCGGTAAAATATACCGTTTATTACAAGCTTTTGAGCTAGTATCACTTCCAAATTTATCTTAATTATGTTCTAAAATTTGGATTCCAAAATGTTTTCTAACACTGTGTAATTTACTACAAGGACTGTTAAAATTATATTTTCTTCCGTTTAACTTTCTAATTTTTTTTATTTAGGTAAAAATAGACCACTTAAACGAATCTCCCCTCGTTGGCGTAGTACCTTCCCTATTTCCTTAAGTCAGCTACAAAAGAAACGTGACGAATTCTGGGATACAGCCCCAGCAGCTGAAGGAAGAATTGAGATTTGGAATGCACTGAAAGTGGTTGCTGATTTCTTTCAAAAACAAGAATATGATATGGCTCAAGCTATTTTAGATGGAGCATGCATCACTCTTCCATCAGGTGAAAATCTTGATATGAATCCTAGTAATGTTTTAATGCTGTGTGTGCCTACCCAACTTACCGCAGTGAACAAGATATACAGGACAGCTCATGTAGTCAAATGGATTGGTAGCTTCCCTCATAATCTAAATTCTTAGATTCTCTGTACAAAATTTAAAATCCTATTCAGACCAGTCAAGAAGCTCGTATATGTTGATGTGTAAAATTAGATATAAATCATATTGTAATGATAATGTGCAATTTACATCAGAATCGTACTAGATGGTAATTAGCCTGTATATATATTATCGCCATCCTATATTTGTAGATAATTTTCAGATCTTCGTTGAAGTTTTCTGCACCGTCATTAGTTCATTGGTTTAGAAACAGTTACTACCTTATTCCATGACTAAAAAATAGCTTAATGTACATTTCAGTAAACTAACCATGATGTATTAGGTTTTTACTATTAAGGTTCAAAAGACTGTAGTTGTAGTCACATCTGAATTTTCAAACCCACGTTCAATAGCTCTGGATCTAAATCCTAAGGCTACGAGCTACCAATATAGTATGATGTTACGGTGTAAAAATAATTAAGATAATGCAGTTATACATTGCTTTCAGGAGCTGAAATCGGCAAAGTACCGGAAAAATTAATGATTCGAAGGTTAGATATAAAATTAGGTAATATTTTCTCGTATAAAATTTGAAAAACAGTGTGTTTAGTCTGAATTTACTCAGACACATTGATTTGCATAAATAAACTCGTTTATCCCTTTGTTTGCATAGTTCTACTCGGTGTATTTATTTGCTTTATTCCAATGATGATTAATTACGATAGATATAAATGGTTATGTCCTGTAATTGTTATGTTATCATACTGCTTTATTTAAACTATGTAACAAATATAGCACACTTATTTCAATAATAAAAACTATATGATCATGTTCTATGTATTGAACGGGTTTATTTATTTTACTTATTAGGAACATTATGTGACTGCTATGATGAACTTGGTGCTCGTTATCAACTTCCATTATATGTCCTAAGTCAGCCAAGCAATCTTATTCCAGATCCTTCTACTCCTGATTCACAAAGCTTACACTCTCAACTAAATATGTCTTCTGTCCTCAGAAATTCTAATACCTATACTTTAGGCTTTAATAACGCCTCAAGAATTCGTTCTCAGCAACAATGCGCCGATGATAATAATGACCCGTCAAGTGACGATGTATGTGGGTGTTTGTCATTGTTCAATGCATTTTGTCATAGAAGCCGGAGAAATAGAGATGGATCACCCCATTGGTTACAGTGGAACTTTAATTCGTGTAGACGTGTTTGTAATCAACCAGTACGTGATAAAGTCGATCCTAATCATCATAATTCATCATCACCACAATGTCTTAATTTAAGATTATCTACTGGTGAACAGCATACATTGGAAATAGGTGATCAAAATATCACAGTTTTAGAAGCTAAACGTTTGTTTGCTTCAGTATGCGGTTGGCATGAGCTTAGACAGCGTTGGTTTGTTTGCGGTCGTTCTCTTTCAAATCGACTTTTGATTAAAGACTGTGATATACCAGCAGGTTTTGTAATCCAAGTTATTGTACACTCACCATTCGATCCTGAACGTTTGTGGAAACAAGAGAATAGACCTATAACTAATTCTGTAGTGGAAGCTATTATCACATAATAGTAGATTTATTTTGTTTTGCTTTTTGTATTGCATTTCTGTTGATTTCATAAATTTGTTTCAAGATTAGTATTTGACGATCATGCCATTACTTCAATCAATACAAAATAAATCAAACAATTGTATGTAAAGGAATTTTTTTATCTCTGTAATTTAATTTGTTAATATTTCTTTAGCTTCTATGTAGTTTGTAATTTCCTTTTTATTCACTTCACATTTGTACATCATTATATAACTTTATTATTACTTTTTACATCATTATATTTGTACTCTACTCAAATTAATTATACGGTATGTTATTAGTTACCTCATTTAAATGGAAAACTTATTTATTAAATATTATTTATGATTATATTTTCGAAAACTAATAAGATTGTTTGTTGATTTGTTTTCTTTTTTTATATGGCCAAGATTTAAAATTTAACGAAATGACTTGTTTGTTATGCGACATGTAAATCTCACGATTGTTCTGTTATTTTATAAATCTATCTGACCTGAATATGTCCTCCTCTATGGATTGATTTTCCATGCCTGTTTGTTTGTTTGTTTAATTCTTAATTATCTTTGTGATTAAACAATGTCTTTTTTTCTTTTCCTTTGTAAATGATTGCCTCATCATTTTCTTTTAACATTTGCTCACTATATAATTGTTATTGTCTTTGTTGTTCCTTTGTTTTTAGATTTTGTACAAGTGTGTGCATATAAATCTGTTTATCAATTCTTTTTCTTTTCTATCTGTTTTTTTTACTTCTGGTCGCTTAATCCGTCCAGATATATTTCTCCCTTTGTATTATTTTACATTTGTTATTATTTTGATTTCTTATTTGAATTAAACACACCTACCATTTGTTTCATGTTATGTTACTCACTTGGTTAAGTAACACCATTTATCAATTTATAAAGTACATTGTATAAAAACAAGTTTTCAAAATGTCTATATATATATATATATATATATATGACAATTCAATCAAATATTCCTTTAAAGACACGCATTTTTTTCGAAGTATGACTTAATAATTGAACTTTGTGTGTTATTTTTTTTCAAATTTTAGACAAACACCTATTAGTAATGAATATTATTGAACAAATTTATCTTATCACATTACCAGAGATTACTCGGCGTATGTCTAGGAATTATTTGTAGTAGCATATGTAAAGAACAGTGTTTGTTTGCTGGTTACAAATATAATCACTTCTACTAACCAGACTACATCTTCACTGAGTTATATATATATTAGTCGGGGCTCCCTTTAGAATTGTATACTATTTTTATTATATCATAGAAGACGAAATGATATGCATATGGCTGAAGTTACTTTAGTATTATGATAGATAAGATAACTTCGCATATCTGATTCCCAAGTCGGTCTTCTCTTGAATTCATACCATGTGGCAGGAAATTGTGATCCTTATGTATAAATATATACATACTCATTTATGTTTATATTTCCTGTTACTACTTATCCGTAAACAGAACTTACAGTAATTCATTTGTATTGATTGATTGATATTTAAGACTGTGATTGACCAATCTCTTTGGTATATGTGCATCCTTTACGGATTGCCTCGATACTGTCTATAGATTACAAGCATTATTAGCAGACGTGAATAGTGCCTGACCAGTCCCAAATAAATGAAACGCATGTCCTGCATTCCACTGCTAACCACTAACCGCTTCTGATAAAAATCAGATATCCTTAACGAAAACTAAGTGTTAGAGCTAAGTAAGAATAATGGCTTGTACGTGTCGCTTTTGTAAACAGAGTTCAATTTTACAAGATGGAATACTAGCGTCTCTGCAGTGTCTAAGTTGTACATTTGTGTTTCTTTCGAGCTGCATAGTCTGACTGTATGGTTGATTTAATGGAGTTACAACCGCAATTCAAAAGATACTCTAATATTGAACCGTTGATAGACTTACATTCACCTCTCTAAATCCATGCTGGATAGTGTTCAGAAATGCGTTTGGAAAGCACTCACTTTATGTGGTTCATACAACCTCTTTCATAAGAGCAAGTGGACCCATGTATACCCATTGGTACGGCCCAATGTGAGAATTTGTACTTAACACATCCACGAATAATGAGCTGGCTGGAGAAAAGGATCCGAATCTCAGTATCATAGGAAGTTTTCCCTAAGTATTTCGTGAGGCTGCTCTCCAACTTATCTGCAGAAGTATCTCCCTTGAACTAAATATTCACGAGGAGAAGTTTCTTAGGAACTGTGTGATGTCATGAAGGTTGTAGTCTAGGTTTAATATTGCGGATTCCATTGCTAGCCACTACTCACCTCTGCTAATAATGCTTATAAACCAAAGGCGATCCACACATTACTAAGAGGCCGATCAATTGCATTCTTAAACATCTACGGTAAGGTTCATATAACCAATACAAATGAATTAATCTTCATCTCATTGTACAAGCGATTGGCTCTCTGAACTCAGTAGCTAACCTGATAGTGTTTGAATCGAAAGATGTTGGGTCCGAGTCTCAGGATGAACATCAACTCGGATACATCCTGAGTCGAACGAAACTCACATCTTGAATTCTAGTGCTATAACTTTCAGTAGTAATATTTTTTAACCGGTTTGTTATGATTAATGCTTTGCATTCCCTTTTAGTTTGTTGTTTTGAAAATAGTTTTTCATCCTTACTGATCCTACTTTTTATGCGCATCATGTTTATGCGTGATTTTCTGTTGTTTTTTTCTTCTGTAAACTTCTATCTAGCAGATATTTTTATTGTTTTTGTCTGTTCGAAGAAATTTTATTATGTCTGGAAGCGCTACCAAAGACTTGTGCTTTAGTTGATTTTAAGTTTCTAATTAACATAACATGGTTGGCTATTTAGCCTAAAATCGATCATTTATAAGAATTTCCGTCTAAATTTGAATGAATATTTTCACAATGGTTTTAGCGTCAAGTTAACAGAAGGCAATAATATGGAAATTAGATCTGTGAAAATTGCGCCAATTGAATTTAAAATGAATCCAATGTTTCATTTGACAATCTGGTTCAATTTTTTTTCGAGCAAAATAATCGAAATATGTGCTAATCTGATTATTCAATCATGTAAACAATTGTCAATGTGAAATTAGTTTTAGTGGGTATAGATTAGTTATTATGAAAGTGTCTAAATTGTGACAAGATAACAAGGGTGTGTATAGATCTGGTGTGAGAGAATTTCATTGACCGTATATGGCCTCAGGTCATGGTTGTTGGCATAACCAGATAATCTGATAAATGTTATAAATCAAACTTGTTACAAAATACATCAAATAAATATAAAAAAACGAATATTTTTATTACTGTCCTAAAAAAAGCTGGTAGTTTACCTGATTAGAATACATGAAAGGACATCGTTGTTGTTCACAAAATATGAGACGAATTAGACGCAGTAATAATAAAATTCAGATTTATTCATTGACTGCCATTAGTCAACTTATGTGTTTATATTATTTGGGTTCGTTCTTATGTGTAGGGTTTTAATTGTCAATGTATGTTTTTATGAACCGTAACCTATTCGGAAGATTTTTATCCCATTAAAATCATTTGTTTGTTCAGAGTCTAAAAAAAAATCCAACTCCGATATGTCATTTAGTTTTTTTTTTGAAGTCTTCCGAGAATTCGGGAATGTAATTAAACCAAAGCGTTTTTTTAGAGAAAAAGAAACCAGATAAACAGCTTTCATATATCCTAGTAATCTGTTCTCAACTGTGATTACATCATAATATTAATCACTACCTGACAAATAGTCTCAGTTAATGCAAGAACTACTTATTGATTGTGTATATAAAAGCCGATGATTTTAATAAATCGGACTGCAAATTAGCAATATAGAAATGTCGATATTATGCAGAGCTACAGCGTTAGATGATTTTACAAGTTCTTCACGGGTATTTTATAATGTCTATCCGATTGATGATTGTATGCTTCTTGTCACATCGTATTGTTCAAAACAGTGGTTCCTTTTGATAAATTTGAATAGAGTTGTGACATGTCATCAAAACCCACACACTCAAACTACTCGAAGCTATCTTGATTGGTCGGAAAAGTCCAACTTTATGTGTTCAAAAACAACTGTATGTTGACCTTTGTTTACCATAGTTCTAGTGAGTGAATGTCATGCTAAATAGGAAATTTTGACCTTATCTTCAAAACTGTATTTACACAAATAACATGTTGCTTGTATGTGACTGACGAGAAAGCACGAAATGGTACTATCTCACAAAATATATCGTATTGTTGTCAAGTTTTTCAATCGTACCAATCTATACGCTCATTTGTAATTCATGAAGAGACGTAAGATTTCATTTAAACAAATTATTTATTGCATTCATATGCTAAGATCTTTACAAAAAAAACTTATCCTCAGAAGAAATATATCATAATTCCTTTTTTAACTCTCACTTTAGGTCATTATTAACGAAAATTTCCTCAACTCATTCCTGTAATTTGTAAATTACACATTTTTACTTTGACAGTTAGTTAATCATTGTTGTTTTATTGATGATGAAAATCAGTAAACATAAGCTAACATGTGACAGTGACTAGTTTTGTTGACTAGCTTCATTTAAAACGAAATAATTGCTTTAATTAATTGAAATGAGTCATTAAACAATAATTTTAAAAGTTTTTAGTCGATAAACTATGTCTGATTAATTAATGAATACCTAGACGTTCATCATATAAGTGTATCAATAGTTTGTTTAGTTGATTGATTGGAAATTATAACTATTAAAAGAGAAAAAAATACATAGTAATGCAAGTTAATAAAAATAATAATTTTGCAATGAGAATATTTTGTATCAATAATTGTCTAGACTCGGTATGGAATCCTAATGTTTGTATGCATGATCATCAGGGTATGTGGGCGGTTACTGGTGTTTTTCTTTTCCAAGATTAGATAGCCATGTTAATTACTGTCAGAAAATACACTACTTAGTCTAACATTGTTAGTTATTTATATACAACTAGCTGGATTAAAAGGTATACAGCTTAATGAATTAATTTGTTCATTATTTAAATTTCTACAGACTAGAACGATACGAAAAATGTTGAGGCAGTTATATCCTCCAGAAAACTACTTGCTGATTGCTTTGTAGGATTCGATTTCCAAGCCGAAATTCCTTACGGGAACCCACCTTTATCTTTAGTGTAGTTAGAGACTGATATGCTTGAATGCCATTACGAGTTCATCTTACTCAGTAAACGGAACGAAGGACAACGATACAGTGACACAATAGGCTATTCTAATCCGTTGTCCTAGGCCCTGCTAACTAGATCAAGGAGTCTTGATAAGGCGTAGAAAATGTATTCTACAGGTACCCAGAAAATATGAGGTGGCTAAGCTCACAAATCAAGCTTATTTATACATGACAGAAAAGCCCTTGTTAGAGCCAAAAATAGCCTACTAAAATAATCGGTCAACAAATGAGGGCCAAGGATTTTCCGAGTGGGAAACATAAGCTGAATATCAACTTAGAATCTCTGAGGTGAAAACATAGAAATTCAAATTTTCAGAATAAAATTACAAAATTAAGACCTTTACCAGGTGAGTTCTGGGGATCTAACGTCCGAAACAATTTTAAACCTCTTTTTCCAGTTATTGTAGATGTATTTATATATCAGGCTTCTTGTCGGCCAAGCCCTTCCTCCAACATTTTGAGACCAGCTAAGGTTATGTCACGAAAAGAAATTTCTGTACAAAGGTTCTGAAAATGAAGCTAGGAGTTATTGATGATATTTTAAGAGATGCCA